ACTTTGCGCCCATGGACACTTTTAATTTGGAGGTCAAAAATTGCAACACATAAAATTTATTCTTTGAAAATTATCAATGGCCACCCTTTATGTAAAAGAATAAAAATTTAAGCTCGTTGTTTTATTTTTATTTAATACTAGCTGACCTGATCCCGCTGCGATGGAATTTCTCAAATCTTAATTATTAAAAGTGAACAACAGTTCGTTACTGGAGAGAAATTTTTTCGATACCTGGGAAATATTTTTATTAATTTTTTATTTATATTTTTTAATTTTTATTAATTTTTATTGCCTTTTATTGATTTTTATTGATTTTTATTGATTTTTATTGATTTTTATTGATTTTTATTGATTTTTATTGATTTTTATTAATTTTTAATAGTTTTTATTAATTAATTTTTAATATTTTTTAATATTTTTTAATAATTTTTAATAATTTTTAATAATTTTTAATAATTTTTAATAATTTTTAATAATTTTTAATAATTTTTAATAATTTTTAATAATTTTTAATAATTTTTAATAATTTTTAATAATTTTTAATAATTTTTAATAATTTTTAATAATTTTTAATAATTTTTAATAATTTTTAATAATTTTTAATAATTTTTAATAATTTTTAATAATTTTTAATAATTTTTAATAATTTTTATTAATTTTTAATAATTTTTAATAATTTTTAATAATTTTTAATAATTTTTAATAATTTTTAATAATTTTTAATAATTTTTAATAATTTTTAATAATTTTTAATAATTTTTAATAATTTTTAATAATTTTTAATAATTTTTAATATATTTTAATAATTTTTAATAATTTTTAATAATTTTTAATAATTTTTAATAATTTTTAATAATTTTTAATAATTTTTAATAATTTTTAATAATTTTTAATAATTTTTAATAATTTTTAATATTTTTTAATAATTTTTAATAATTTTTAATAATTTTTAATAATTTTTAATAATTTTTAATAATTTTTAATATATTTTAATAATTTTTAATAATTTTTAATAATTTTTAATAATTTTTAATAATTTTTAATAATTTTTAATAATTTTTAATAATTTTTAATAATTTTTAATAATTTTTAATAATTTTTAATAATTTTTAATAATTTTTAATAATTTTTAATAATTTTTAATAATTTTTAATAATTTTTAATAATTTTTAATAATTTTTAATAATTTTTAATAATTTTTAATAATTTTTAATAATTTTTAATAATTTTTAATAATTTTTAATAATTTTTTATAATTTTTAATATTTTTAATAATTTTTAATAATTTTTAATAATTTTTAATAATTTTTAATAATTTTTAATAATTTTTAATAATTTTTAATAATTTTTAATAATTTTTAATAATTTTTATTATTTTAATTAATTTAAGTTTTATTTATATTTATTATTTAGTTTAACGATACTCCCCATTTCCACCTCCTTAAAATGTGAAAATCCAAAAACCTTGAAATGCGTTATTATTTACTAATAATGAGTAGTCACAATTCCAATTTTCAATTTCTTGCCTTTAAAAAAGCGATATCCCCAACCTTTCCACCATTTCTCCCGTTCTCCCATTTCTCCCCTTTCTTCCTTTCTCCCATTCCCTCCCTTTTCCCCTTTAAATATGAAAATCCAAAATATCTAAAACACACCATTATTTGTGATGAGTAGTTATAAATCCAATTTTTAAGTTCCTACCTTTAAAAAATCGATGCTTCCATTCAAACTTTCCCCCCCCCCCCCTAAAATATGAAAATCCAAAACCCTGAAACACGTCATTATTTTTCACCACCACTATGCAAAATATCATGTTTGTGAAAAACTAAAACAAATCTATCCTACGGGATCCGTATATTTTTCCGGGATTTGTTGTGACTGAAAGGAGGTTTCCTTATGTATTTTTAAGAGCTAAAAAAATTCTAGTTACGCCACTGCTATATCTGTTTTATCAACTTCTAAAAATCCAGTTAAGATCAGTAGGAGAGGGGGTAACTTTTTATTAAATGAGAATACCTAGAGCAGGGACAGAAGTTGGAAAGGTTTTTGATAGCTAGAGAGGTGGTAAACGTCAAACCACGTCGGACGACTTCGAGAAATATTTGCCAGTGCCGTATCATAGAATAAAAATAATACCAAACATTTTAAATTATTACTAGCGAAATCGGGCAATCGTATCTATTTATGGGCTAGAAATGATTATTTAAGCAAGTAATAATATCCCAAATCATAATTCTACCAAATTTGAACAGCTATTCACAATTTATTAAACTATTTATACTAAATTGTTATTAGCATCTATAAAGTAATTTTCTACGCCAATGTTTGGGGTTCACTACTGTTAGCTCCGCGCCGAAACTGTCAAATCCTGCCAAAAGCCTTTCCAACTTCTGTCCCTGATCTAAAGTGTCGAAAATCAAAGCGATTGCCGAAGTAAAAATTGTTGTTTATGACCCTATAACTAGGCAACCATATTTACTGCATAAATGTATTGGACTTTGTATTGTTAAATACATCACAAAATGTATTCTTTTTTGGATTTAAACAATCAAATTATGCTATTCATCAACCTGCGTAAAACAATATCTTCATAAATTTGACATTGAGATTTGTTTTTCTATTAAAAATGTTAACAATGGTTGGTTAAAATACTCATTTCCATTTATAACTCGAAGAATACAAAATAAAGAGACAATCATTATTCAAGCATTTATAAATATGTTTGTGCAGTAGACTGGCATCGGATTTCATCCACTAATGGATAAAATAATCAATAGGGGGTTTTTGAGGTCGCTGAAAACGAAGCTGTTATATAATTTTATTATTTACCGATTTATAAATTTGCATTATTATGTAATATTCAATATTATTATGCTGGTTTATAAATGCTAAGTTTGGCCGTCTTGTATTGTTTGAGTCAATTTGTTGACAGCGTCATATTAAAATATTGGATTATGCGTTAATACAATTTTACAATAAAAAAATAATATATAATATTAACATAATAATATATAATATTAACATTGTTTTTACTTCCTCGATAAATGGGAAGTATTGTAATGGTGAAAAAGTCACCTTCCAAGATTATTTCAGATTTTCATGTTTTAGGGTCCCTAGATTACGAAAATCATGTTTCCCTATTTCGTCGGTATCTAATGATATTGAAATATATTGAAAGATATTGAAAGATATTGAAATATATTGAAAGATATTGAAAGATATTGAAAGATATTGAAAGATATTGAAAGATATTGAAAGATATTGAAAGATATTGAAAGATATTGAAAGATATTGAAAGATATTGAAAGATATTGAAAGATATTGAAAGATATTGAAAGATATTGAAAGATATTGAAAGATATTGAAAGATATTGAAAGATATTGAAAGATATTGAAAGATATTGAAAGATATTGAAAGATATTGAAAGATATTGAAAGATATTGAAAGATATTGAAAGATATTGAAAGATATTGAAAGATATTGAAAGATATTGATAGATATTGAAAGATATTGAAAGATATTGAAAGATATTGAAAGATATTTAAAGATATTGAAAGATATTGAAAGATATTGAAAGATATTGAAAGATATTGAAAGATATTGAAAGATATTGAAAGATATTGAAAGATATTGAAAGATATTGAAAGATATTGAAAGATATTGAAAGATATTGAAAGATATTGAAAGATATTGAAAGATATTGAAAGATATTGAAAGATATTGAAAGATATTGAAAGATATTGAAAGATATTGAAAGATATTGAAAGATATTGAAAGATATTGAAAGATATTGAAAGATATATATTTAAAGATATTTAAAGATATTTAAAGATATTTAAAGATGATATTTAAAGATATTTAAAGATATTTAAAGATATTTAAAGATATTTAAAGATATTTAAAGATATTTAAAGATATTTAAAGATATTTAAAGATATTTAAAGATATTTAAAGATATTTAAAGATATTTAAAGATATTTAAAGATATTTAAAGATATTTAAAGATATTTAAAGATATTTAAAGATATTTAAAGATATTTAAAGATATTTAAAGATATTTAAAGATATTTAAAGATATTTAAAGATATTTAAAGATATTTAAAGATATTTAAAGATATTTAAAGATATTTAAAGATATTTAAAGATATTTAAAGATATTTAAAGATATTTAAAGATATTTAAAGATATTTAAAGATATTTAAAGATATTTAAAGATATTTAAAGATATTTAAAGATATTTAAAGATATTTAAAGATATTTAAAGATATTTAAAGATATTTAAAGATATTTAAAGATATTTAAAGATATTTAAAGATATTTAAAGATATTTAAAGATATTTAAAGATATTTAAAGATATTTAAAGATATTTAAAGATATTTAAAGATATTTAAAGATATTTAAAGATATTTAAAGATATTTAAAGATATTTAAAGATATTTAAAGATAAAGAAATTAAAACATTTTAAAATTTTGTTAACGGATTCGTTCTTAGCGACATCAAAAAACCTGATGAAAACTACTTTGTCAAGTTATTGCGTTTATATAAAACCATTATTTTTTATTATTTATTTTCGTTGGACATTGTACAATAAAATGGCACAGGACACATTATTTTTATACATTAATTCTGCTTTATTAAAATCGTCTTTTTGAAATTATGTGACCACTTTAAAACGTTGGAGAAAAAAAGGCCCAACGAAGTTGGTGGAGGTTTATTATTTCTTGTAGGTATGTACTTATCATCGAACGAGCATAATAAAAATGTTAAGAACAAACATAAGTCAAGTCTTTGAGCGCCACTTACCGCTTTCGTTAATTCATTGGACACGTACCATAGTACATTTTAATAATAAATTCAGTTATACGAAAATAAGTCACAAATCTTCACGTTGGCTGTAAAACTAATAGGTGCGAAACGGATTGCCCACTTTTAATTATTTAATATTATAAAAGTAACCAAAACACATTTTAATCAAACATAATTTATTGAGTACTTACTTTTTACAGAAGGTGCTGGTGTTGCTTCAGTCATCTGTAACAAAACAATTTTCTTTTATAATAAAAAAATTTAAATTTCATAACAATCTTAAATTAATACATAACATTTTGCAAACCGCCCCTGTTCAAGAAATCCTACAAATAACAATCTCATCTCGCTCTAGATATTGTACAAGCTAAATATATTTTCTTCAACGCATCAGAAATATCGCGCAGGCACCAGTATGACACACAAGGAAATTGCATTCCGCTATATATTATGTCTCTTACATCGCAACATTTCTCTCTTTCCATTCAACAAATTTAAAATAATTTTAGCAAAATTTCACTCCCGATGATGTAAGACCACTAGTTGGACACGTCCTCAACACACAAAACTAACCAGTTCCCTCCTCGTAGCTTGCAACGATGCAGTTCTTTTATCTCACACTCCAATTTCAAACCTTCAACAATAAAGATGCCTCGGGGTCGGTTTTCATCTATCGATACAAAACTACTTCGGCCACCGTCTCCACCATCAAACCTAATATCTCACATCTAATACCGGAATACATACGTGCCTAAATTATTATGCGGGAATTTTTGCTCACTCACAATATTCTAAGAAAATTATCGCTCATTTTCGACTCGGGATAATTTTCAAATTATTCGTAAGATCGTAAAAATTTCCAGAAATAATTTAGGCACTAGTGGTATTATAAGTAAAAATTTAGTTCATTCATAACTTATTGATGAAATTTAAGTCCTTTCACTGAGCTTCAATTACTTTCAAAGAGGTTGAAGCACTTTTGGGAGCTCCAAGCACTTTAAAATAGCTTGAAGCACTTTGAAATGGCTTAAAGCCCTTTCATGTACGTGTTTCAGTTAAGTAGATTTCCGTCTTTTCAACAAGCTTTTTTATTAGCTTGTTATGTATGTATGTATGTTTGCATGTATATATGTAACTATGTATCTACGTATCTTCAAAACGTCGGATTGGGTTTTATCCAGAGAATTTGTTTTGTTCCTATAACTTGTACTGCAATTAACATAAATTACAACCTTTTTTGGACATAATTTGCTATTATTTCTTAATTACTATAGTTCATAAAGAATTGAAAATTATCTTTTATCTACAGTTGCTTTAGTTTGTATTAAAAGAATATTATTGTAAGTTCTTCTTGTCATAAACATAGGTAAATATAAACAAATAACAATATTGTTTTATTTTAATATTTTTATATGTATTATGCAGCATTAAGCTGATGACTGAAGTTCGTGGTATATTTCTGACACTTTGAGAATTTTATTACACATTCAAAGGGCTTTAGGCACATTTAAAGAACTTCAAGCACTTTCGAAGTACTTCAAGCACTTCTGAAGGCACTCCAAGCACTTTTGATGTGTTTCAAGCACTATTCAAATCACTTTGAGGGTATTGTGCTTGGGAAGCACTTTCGAAAATAAAAAGGAAATTGTGCTTGAAAATGAAAGCACTTTGAAAAAGGGCTTAGTGTTTAGTGCTTCAAGCCCTTTCACTGAGGACTTTGCCCAACTCTGGTTGGTTAAAAGAAATTACTTACCTTGGTATGAGTATATTTATTGTCAAGTTCTATCCTCGGCGTCGCCGCCATAGCAGGTAAAGGTGTCGTTGGAACAATCATTTCCTAAAACAAAAATTTTAATTATTTTTTTTTAAGAACGGAAACAAAATATTGGGTAAAGATTCGAAAACTAAAGGTTCTATTTGAAAAAGTGAAAATTAATAACAATTCTCCCTAGGAAATTAATGAATTCATCTCCACAATCCCAAAGTTTTTTAATGCAAATTTTGAATTGTTATATGACCAAATAAAAGGAGTCTCTTAAAATTTCTATATTTATAATGCGTTGTAGCGTTCTCGAGCCCAACATCATCCTAGTTATTGATGTACAGGATGTTTTTTAAAAAGGCTGCACTTCTTACCCGTATATATTTTCAAAGAATAATGCATACGTCATCAGATAAGATTTTATTTTTTTGTAGACAAACCTTATTATTAAATTACAAAAATACATAAAATATTGATAAAGAAATAAAAGTTTTTAGCTTAGGCTCTAAAAAGTTATCACCAAATTTGTATTCGATTTTTATTTAATACACTTACTGCTGAAGACCAAAACTATTTTTATTTAATACACTTACTGCTGAAGACCAAAACTATGTCAAAACGTGGCACATAGGTCACAGAACATGCCATACCAAAAATCGATCACAGCCTACTCTTTCTATTTGATTTTTTTTTCAACTTTCACGCCATATACCAACTTAATTAGACGATTTTGAATATAGGTAAGTTGGGTTAAATCGAAAATAACGATGAATTAAAAATAACGATTAATCGAAGATAAACGATTAATCGGAAGTCATCGATTAATTGAAAATAATCGATTAACCGAAAATATTAAGATTAATCGAAAAGAAAACAAATATTTCGATTTTTCAAAAAAAAATCTAATCAATTATTTTGCCCACCCCCAACTTATAATTTCAGTCTTGTATAATGAAGTAGCTGACCCGATCCCGCTCAAATCTCAATTATTAAAAGTGCACAACAGTTCGTTACTCGAGAGAAATTTTTGGCAAATTTTTATTAATTTTTATTAATTTATTATTACTTTTTGTTTAATTTTTATTAATTTTTATTAATTTTTATTTGTTTTTATTTATTTTTATTTATTTATTTATTTTTATTTATTTTTATTTATTTTTATTTATTTTTATTTATTTTTATTTATTTTTATTTATTTTTATTTATTTTTATTTATTTTTATTTATTTTTATTTATTTTTATTTATTTTTATTTATTATTATTTATTTTTATTTATTTTTATTTATTTTTATTTATTTTTATTTATTTTTATTTATTTTTATTTATTTTTATTTATTTTTATTTATTTTTATTTATTTTTATTTATTTTTATTTATTTTTATTTATTTTTATATCCATCCATCCATCCATCCATCCATCCATCCATCCATCCATCCATCCATCCATCCATCCATCCATCCATCCATCCATCCATCCATCCATCCATCCATCCATCCATCCATCCATCCAAACTTTCGCAATTCAAGCGGCAATCCAAGAGATATTGTTGAAAAGACAACAATAAGACAACATAATGGTTGTTATTTTTAACAATTATCTTAGATTAGGTTGTTTTAATACTTAGGTTTTAATTAGTTTACGAAATTTAATTAATAAATTATTTTTACAATTTTCTACTCTAACTTTATTATGTTTATATTCGTACCTACACAATTTTATAAACATAATGGATAATTAAAATTAAGTTGAATTTATCCTGATTTATTTCAACAGTTATTATTTGAAAGCCAAGTGAATATAAATAATTATTATTGTCTATACATTTATACTTGAATTAACGTTTATTTATTTTTACTTAAAAAAAAACAATATGTCTTCCAAATTTTGTTTCTCTTAAACCCAGTTTTCAATTAGACATGTCATTTGTCTTAGAATTGTCGGAAATATAGTTCATACCTCCCCTACTACGAGAATGATAAAAAGGAAAGCCCACCTTGAGTATGTTGTCGACATCGGCAGCCACCGGTGTAGCAGAAGGCAAGGTCTCTCTCGGTCCAGCCGTAACTCCTTGACAAATCTGCAATGAAAAAGACGGAACCTTAGTCAGTAACGAATTAAGATAAACATTATTATACAGGGTGTCTCGAAAAGATTGATCATACATAATTATACCACATATTTTGGGGTCAACAATTAATCAATTGAACTTCATTTACCTATGTACAAAAGTGCTCACAAAAAGGTTACAGGGTGTTTAGATTGAAAATTACATTATTTTTTTTAACGTTGCTCTAAAAGGTTTAACATGAATTTATGAAAATTTATATAGGATACTAGTACATAATGTACAATATACCGGGTGTTCAAATTAAAGTGTTACAGTTAAATACCGCCTTTTATAAAAAAAACGTTTCAGACGAAAGTTTTATAGTTTTTTGGGGAAAACATTTTGGCTAAAATCGTTTTTTATAGCTAACCATAATATGGCCAGATTTTCTTTCGCGCAGCATAATTTTCAAGCAGGTGTTACTCAATAAGTCCAGTTCCTTTAAAAGTTTCTCATTTTTCTTATGAACTTTAAGAATATGTAAAAAAATGGGGTTCCAATTTGAAAAGAAAAAAAAATCCACCTTGATATGGCCATATTATGGTCAGCTATAAAAAATTAATTTAGCGAAAATGTTTCTCCCAAAAAACTATAAAACTTTTGTCTGAAACTTTTTCTTATAAAATGCATATTTTTTTAGAAGTATTTAACTGTAACACTTTACTTTGAACACCCGGTATACGCATAACTTTTTTTTTTTTGAGGAATATTTAGCTAAACACATCGATGGAATCACACATCTATATTCTAAAACTATGGTCTCTTAGTATTTGTTTGCGAAAATCTTAATTTAAAAGGTACAGCCATCTTTTTAATTGTCAATTTTAAAATATTGAATTTTTGAATATCAAAAACATGTATAAACCTAATAATATTAAATAACAATTAAAAACATAAAAAATACATTAATTAATGCAATATATGTTTCTTGCCCTTTTCAAATATGATTTTTGATTCAAAATCAGATATACTTAATACAAAGTTGAATTTTTTTACCAAGCCGGAACTGGACAAAACTTTTAATATTTACATATTTCATATTGAAATCAACAAAAAAATTCTAGTGAAAATTTAAAAAAATATACAGTTTGGTTCATGAGTAATGAAGACTTGAAGAAAATTGTAAAATTGATAAAATATTCGGTATGTTGTTCATGAAGATTCCTACTATTTAAAATTAATTCGGTGCCATCTACCTATCCATAAATTAGGCGCATTTGCAGCCAAACACCTTGTATATAAGACAAAATTGTTCATTTCATTTTATTTCAGAACTGATAACAACAATAGCTATTTGTATTACTAGGGAGGAAAGTGCCACTATTCCTCCTGCAGGATGAAGTTTACTGCCCGACGCGAAGCGGAGGGCAGTAACATCCAAACGAGGAAAAGGCACTTTACTCCCAAGTAATACATATGATTTTTCCGCCTCCCTCAAATAACAAGTCATTTTCTTCGGCCCATTGCTTGAAATGTAAATACTGTTTTTCGTATTTTTCTTTACATTTTTGGGGTAATAGAGATTGTACTGTTGCATTAACCTGTTCCAAAATATCCGGTGGTTTATTATTTATATCTTCAAATTCGCTTGAATCACTCATATTTTAAATATTATTTTATATTTTGTAGATATATTATAGCGTAACACACTTTGAAACTGATCTGTCAATCGACCATAGCATGCTATATTTCTGTCCTAAATTCGAAAAACGGATGAATCTATGAATTGAAGTCAAATTATTAAGTAAAAATCGTTAAATTAAAATAACAATTTACTGATTTTTACTATTTTGCAAAATACAGGGTGTTCTATAAATAAACGGTATATAATAAAATATAGTTTAGGTCGTCATCGTCAATACCGTATAAGCTATTTCATTTATGACATACCATGACGTCACTTTTACTTTTCCTCCCTAGGGAGGAAAAGTACAACTTTGCTCCCTACAATGAGGCCAGGAAATGTATACTTTGGATAGAGGTAGGCGGAAAAATATTATACTCTTCACAGTTTAACAGACCTTCTTAACCCACATTATAAATTAATTTTTTTCAGAATCAATAGCCTTCATTCTGTTATAGAGCTTGATTTTTACGAAAAATTCCACGTTGATATCACTTTTCATTTCTGATTTTTTTTTTATTTCAACCTCCCCTTAAACCCCCATTTTTATTCCATTTTTTTTTTTTTTAATATAACTATGAGTTTGATTTTTACTGAAAATTTCAAATTGATATCGCTTTTCGTAACGTTGGGATTTTTTTTAATATATTAACCCCCTTTTTTATTCAATTTTTTTCAGGATCAACAGATTTATAGAGCTTATAACTTATAGAGCTTGAAATTCTAAACATTTCATGTTGATAGTTATGATTTTTAAGCTATTGCATAGCTTTTATCGCGGGCTTTGAGCGCGGCGACCGAATCAAGAACTTCTATAACGACCGTAACGAAAATAAACCTAACACCCCCCACTCCGACCGGCACAGCGGTGCGGCGTTGAATGCCGTGGAAGGTTTTATCCGAATCCGACCCTACTCGTATTAGTATGAAGCGGAGTTAAATATACGTCTGCGGATTGGAACGTTTATGCAATACGAGAACTAGAAGAGTTTTCTCTGGCTTCTAATAAATTGGTATCACAAATGTTCCCAGCTGGCGTAAATATTAGATATTAATTTTTTAAGCTATTGCATAGCTTTTATCGCGGGCTTGAGCGCGGCGACCGAATCAAGAAATTCCGTAACGAAAATAAACCTAACATCCTCACTTCGACCGGCACAGCGGTGCGGCGTTAAACAATATTAACTTCTCATTTATTCAATAAAAGAAAATCGAAAAATCGAAAAATGGAAAATTCGTAAAATCGAAAAATTGAAGAATCAAAAAATTGAAAAATCGAAAAAGAAAGTTCGTAACGAAAATAAACCTAACACCCCCACTCCGACCGGCACAGCGGTGCGGCGTTGAGAGCCGTGCATCGTCTAACGTCGTTTCAGTTCGGCAGACTTCGGCACGATGTTTGTGTGCGTGCGACTAGACGTATGCGTGTAGACTAGCTGCTTACTGCTCATAACTGATTCTATCTCTTTTAGACACAATTTCGGAAAAATTGAATTTGAAAATTAATAATGATCCACAAGAATCCACAACAAAATATGGGACCACCGTTGACGCGGTATTTTCCAGATATTTAGAGGATATCAAGTCTCAAACTTATGTATCTTATTTCAGTTACCATAAACCTATAGTTTCAATGATAAAAATTCCTGAATAACCTACATGTATTATAAGATAATAAAAATATTTTAAACAATATTAACTTCTCATTTATTCAATAAAAGAAAAAAAATTGTTTTCTTATCGGTCACCACGCTCAAAAAGTGTAACTTGAATTAATATCAAAGAAAAGAAAATACTGCATAAATAAAATAAATAATTATAATTGCATAAGTTGATAAAAATGCTAAGCAATTGCTTTACCGCGGCAGTCCCCGACTGCCACACGTATTTTTAATACCACCAGGCGGGGGGGGGGGGGGGTAGGTGTTGAGAGTGTTCAAGGGGGTTACGCCCTCAATTTTATTCAATTTTTTTTTTCGAATCAACAGGGGGTTTAATTTTTACTAAAAAATTCATGTTGATATCGCTTTTCGTTTTGGATTTATGATTTTTTTTTTTAATTTTTTTCAACCCCATTGACCCCCATCTTTAATTTCAAAATCAATAGGATTCGTCCCCTTATAGAGCTTGAAGCTGAGATTTCAAGTTGATATCGTTTTTTGTTTTTAAGTTATATTATTCTTTTTCATTTTTTTTTAATTTTTTTTTAATTAATAGGCTTTATCCCCTCATAGAGATGGTTTTTTACTAAAAATTTCATCTTGATATAATTTTTCGTTTTTGATTTTATATATATTGTGATGGTGTTACTTACCTTATATTTTATTCAAATTTGTCACATAAATGCAATTTAATTAAAACTGTGTTCTATATTTTTTTAATAAATTTTATTAATTATTTAAATTTTGTAACTATTTTCATAATTCAGGTAATCTCAGGGAATATTTTAGTTTAATTGGGTTCATCACTTTTTCAGTGGCCCTCGTATTATGAATTTCAAAGAATGGAATAAATTTATCTTATGGGATTTCAGGGTAGCCAACCAGTCAACAGAAAATATACCAACTAAGAATTAATTGGAATTCAGAAAGTAACATTTATTTCTGGACTCTATTACAACAAAATCTTAAAATTCTATAATAAAACATTCATTCTTCTTCACACACACACTTTATGGACACTATGGACAGTGGCAATGACTTAAATAACCCACCTTCTCTGACAATTTTTTATTATACGTTGGCAATGCCGTTGCCGTTATAGGTATTTCGTTGAATATGCTTTGAATTTAAAATAAATTTATAGGTTATGTGTTTATTATGGACAAGAAAATGTGGATTTTTAACTCATTAAATGAAATCAGATTAATATTAAAGTGATAGTTCATATAAAAATTTTGTACCTTTACAACTACATCAGGGTTCATAAATTGTGTTTTATTTGCTTCTTTTTTCTTTTCACAGGTAAAGTGCCATTCAAGGAGATTAAAAATTCAGATAAATCTTAGAAAACTACGTTGTATCCATCCATACCTTGTGAATTCCAGGACAAATGAGCAGAAGCCTTTTATGATACTTCCACATCCAGAATTTATGATCACTTCACTATTGTAAACAATATATGGGTAGAAACTTATTGGACCAATTACACCAGTAAGTACTTATTACTAATTTTACAACAAATTACAGTTACTAGGTTTGGTATACTTTCTTATTATTTGAATTTTTTAGGATGAAAAAGCAACTACATCTCTTCCATTTTGAAATTCTACCAAGACTCCACGATTTTCATTTGTTAAATCAACAACTTTTTACATTTTTAATCCCATCTAGAAAGTTCAAATTTCTTGTGCCCAATAGAAAGAAACTGGATTTAGTTACTTTTAAAAATAAGTTATTTCTATAAATTAAAGGTGAGTTTATTAAAACTAATTATACTGTAATTTTAAACTAATTTTATATTAAAATTCTATTACTGTTTGAACAAAATCCTGGTTGTCAAATTTAATCAAATTGCATTTTTGTTATCTTTTAAAATAAAGTTGGTATTCTGTTTCTTACTAAATTTGTTACTTTGTTACTGTTTCTATATTTGTCACATTGTTTCATGTACTGGGTGATATTATTAATATGTCCAAAAGTAAACAATTTTTTTAATTTACAATAATTTTAAAAGTTTTTTGTTTGATTTTTAAAATACTATCTTAATATATATATATTTTTTATTTCAAACCTCCTCCTTAAACTCATAATTTTTATTCATAGGCTTCGTTCCCTTATATAGTTCATTTTTCTGAAAATTTCAAGTTGATATCATTTTTCGTTTTTGAGTTATCGTGCGGACAATAACGTGATATCGGATAAAAATTTTGATTTCTCGAAAGTAAACCTATAATACTACTGTGTGAAGAGCATAATTAATTCTTAGTCATCTTCGCGTTTTACCATGAATCATCCTAATAATTTATTATATGTGTGTTCAGACAATAGTGGAAAATGTCCCTTTTGTTGTTTCGCTCTTAAATTTGTGGAACGTCAACAACAAGCCAGAATCGAGTGGTCACAGCAGATAATCACGTAAATAATGTGATTTTTTTTTTATTTTAGCTCTCGATCTATCCGGTTTGTCCTTCTTTTCAATCATCATCATCTAAAATTCATTTCTCGACGATTTTCCTTTTTTTCCATCAATTTCCCAGAAGAAGGTTAATAAAAGCCACGATTGTTTTTATAATTTATGAGTTTGAATGCTGTTGGTGCAATTAAAACCACACATATATAATATTCCTTCAATATTGGCATGTCATACATGAATACCCCTGTATATATCAAAAAGGTGCTTTGCTATTCGCGATTCAAATTAATTTTCGCGCGCCTGTTATTTGTCACCTATAAGTAGGATGTTTGTTTATTTACATGTGTTTGTTTTGGGCGGGATTTTGTATTTGTGATTTTTTTAATTGTTTTTAGATAATATTCTCATTATAATAGTGTTTTTGAGTTTCATTTAGTGTTAATTTAAGTTTAGTTTTCGTACTTTCGTCATAAATATAATATTTATCATGTGTATGACTTAATTTGTTGGAAATATTCATCTATATGTATTTACTAAACCCAGGACATGTTTTATTATGTGGTTTAAAGGACATTCCAGGTACCAAACGTTTATTATTGATAAACTTATTTAAAAATCTTACTATCCTTATTCTTATATTTTGAAGTGAATTGTGTAGTATTTTGTATACATGTAAATGGTAATAAAACCGTCACAAATCAGATTGAAGTTTGATTCTAAACAAAGTTTTGCAAAATTTCAATATTGTGAATTTGTTATCCATTTATCGTAAGAAACAAAATTTTACGACTTACGCTTGGAAAATAATGAATACTTCAGTTTTGATTTTGACATTAACACCATATAGATTGTAATTTTCTGTGGGTTTTTTTTTGCCGATTTCATTTTTAATATAAACACTATCACATACTATAAGAAATAAACAAATTTAAAGCTAAAAAGTAAGAAAAAACTCAAATTATAATTGATACAAATTAAAATATGAACAATGAACACGAACGCCAATGTTGCCAAATGATGAATTGATTTTAAAACAAAATTAATAAATGAATTGAAATTTAAAAAACTCAAATATAATAAATCGGTTTTATAAAAAAATCCTTAAATAAATATAGAGTATGATTACATATTATTAAACACAAATTTTGATTCTTGAATAAAAGATCTTATCCACTTCTTCAAGGGCTTAAAATCCGACGACGTAGGAAAATTTCGCTACTTCTGGCAACACTGAACGATATCCTACTTATAGGCACCATCTACAAATTTCCTCCAGAGGGCGTATGTATCACTTAGTTTGAATCGCGAATATAGAATCTGACGCCATTTGAAACTAGTTATACCACGTGATCTATGATCTGACGTCCGTCACCTTAAGTTTGATATTTGTTAACGAAATGCAGTCAATAATTATTTTAGTATTTAAATGATCGACACTGTCATTTCAGAATTATTGCATTGCAGATCAACAGTGACGGTCTTAGCCTGCAGTCTGTTCGCTATACTTACGCGGGTTTCGTATTAATTAATTATTTGTAACAAATTTAGTACCTACCCTAATGTTATTTTAATGTAAATCTGACCATTAGGGCAATTTTACCTAATTTCTTGGGAAGAGGCTTATTGGAACTGGTTGTCAATGACTAATTAGCATAATTTTGTTAATCCGAAACCCGCGTAAGTATAACGAACAGACTGTACTTGTCGGACTCGTAAAAATTTTACGGCGGTCCTCGCTCCTATAAGGGAACGAAATATTACCACTAGGTTGGATTTATCTTTTAGAATTTCGATAAAAAACAGAAACCGCAAAAACACCCACTATGGTAAAAATACTGTTTCGTTCGTACCTTCAAAGTGAACGGACGTGGTTTGTCGGCGTCATCATAAAAAGCGATTTCAACGTTTAACAGATAAGTACCTAAATATTTTTTTTTTAATTATTTTTAATACAATTTCGATTACAAGACGTGATAAAAATTAAATAAAACTTTTCTAATATGTCTGATAGCTAGGGCGGTGACCCACCTCTCTCTAATAGTAATAATAACAAGAATGAAGATATTGCTTGACATTCTTCACAGTTTAATAGACCCCCTTAACACCCCATTTTTAATCAGATTTTTTTCAGGATATATAAGGTTCATCCCCTTATAGAACTTGATTTTTCCTGAAGATTTCAAGTTGATATCGTTTTTTATTACAGAGTTAGGATTTTTTAAATATTTCAACCCCCTTAGCCCCCCATTTTTACTCAGATTTTTTTTTTTCAGAATCAATAAGCTTCATCCCCTTATAGAGGTTGATTTTTACTAAAAAATTCATGTTGATATCTCTTTGGCTTTCAATTTACGATTTTTTTTTTGTAATTTCAACCCCCGTTAAACCTATAGTACTCTTCACAGACTCCTCTGTAAACATCAAGTAAAGGATGACGCCTATTGATTCTAAAAAAAATCTGAAAAGATGGGGAGTTTAAGGGGATTGAAATCCTAACTCAGAACCAAAAACCCCTCAGTCCCTGTAGGTGAATCTAATGTTTAGTCATAAAAGTTCAAAATGGCTCAACATTCGTACTTATGGTTAGAATGAGACAAAAGATGAAAAAAAAAAAACAGGAAGAGTATCATGGTTTCAGAGGTAGGCTCTGATGAGTGAACATAAAATTAGGAGGAGATGGCTCTTGATAGCTTTTATTGAGCGGCTCGGACTCTGATCATCATTGAGGATTAACTAAGTTGTCTATGGAGTGGTAGGGAATTTCTGTTTAGGTTTACTTGAGTGTTGAGACAAAGGTTGTTATTGTCTCTTGCGAGGGTAATTTTAACATCTAAGTTTTTTTTGTGTTCAAGTTAATAATTTTGAATTATTAGTTGGACTAAAATTATGTTTGTTAAAACTCAGAGGATGTCCAAATGCAGATGTGTCTGGCCCTTTGATGCAAGCCCCCCCCCCCCCCCCCCCCCCCCCCGAGATGAACATTCTTATGATTTATGAGCCTTTTATTCAAAAACATCTAAAGGCAATGGCCCCCCCTGAAAATTCGTCTTGGAGCCACCCTTGTTTTGATGTGTTCGCTTATTCGGATTCCCAAAGATCTGCCTATATAGATGGCATTACAATCGATGCATTGCAACCTGTACACCCGGATCTCGATTTTAATTACGGTTTCTATGGCATAATTTGGAATATTAACCGTACAATACAACAAAATTGTATAACTAAAAAGAAGCACTGAGTAGTATTTTTTGGAAATTGAGAAAAAACTTACCTGCTCATGCGAAAGCCTTTGATGTCTATCACTAACACCGCTATGCAACCTAGACGATGACGACGACGTAGACGATGTCACTGACATTGTCGATTGTTGGTTGGGCGGACCTTTTGCTGGTAGTATTCCATTTGAGCGGTGACTCGTCGTACTGCTGGTACTGCCATGTTTGACAGGCTGTCCAGGGTACGCGCCCCTGCCTCCATATGGTGGTTTGCCTTCAGCGTTTTTCATGTAACCGCCCCGCTGATGATTCGAATGTTGTAAATGGTGGTGTGGCTTTTTGAACTCTGTCCGAGAATCTGGAGGTGGTTGTAGTCTAGAAATAAAATAAAAATAAAGGAAAGTTCTGAATAAAAATAAAATTATTTTTCCAAATTTCGGTCATTGATATTATAACTAGGGCTGGGCGATTATCAAAATAAATAATCGATCATATTCGATTAGTCGATTAATTTCGATTAGTCGAATATTTTCGATTGTTCGATTATTTTCGATAAAAAATTTTTTTTTGATTAATCGATTATTTTCCATTATTATCGATTAATAGATTATTTTTGAATAGATTATTTACGAATAATCGATTATTTTCGATAACCTAATCGATTATTTTTGATTAATCGATGAACTGAAAATAATTGATTATTTTCGAATAATCGATTCTTTTTGCTTGATCAAGATGGATTATTATTAGTTAGTTATTTTCAAATAATCAATTATTCAGAAAATTCGATTATTTTTGATTAATCTTTAAATTGATTATTTCCGAATAATCGATTATTAGATAATTATTTTATTTTAAAAGCAAGCTGTGTGATCGAGTGTTTCGTTTATAGATTGCTCCCAAAAAAAAAACACTTAAGATCGATCTATTTAATTTATATTTTATTTAAAGTTTATTATTTATAAGTTAATTATCTCTCTTTATACAAGGTGACCCAACGAAAAATTGACATGGGTGTTTAGGGTATTAATATTGTGGATGTTAAAAAAACGCTCGGACAGATCGATTTTAGTTTGTAGGAGGACATATCTTTATCATATTAACTGTCAGACGTCATTCCCCTCCACTCCGTTACTCTAACCACTGCAATTTAGTGTCAAGTATGGACCCATCATTGAAAAGATAATTTTAAGGAGAATTCGGCAATATCACTATTCATTGGAAAATTTAATGGGCAGCATAATTTTTTTATTTTGGTTGATTGGGATAAAGTTTGTATTTCTTAACGTTTGAACTCTGCATTTTGTTTGTACGGCCCGATCGCGTTGTAACGTTGGCCGGGCCATATAAACAGGCAGCGCTGATATTATTCGTTTCCTGCTCGCGCTAATGCCAACTCTATGTAGTTTTCAGATGGTCTTGTGCAAAGCATATTGGAAAACGTTCAATAGTCGATACTGTGTATGTTATAGTGAAAAGAAATAAATCTATTCTGTAAACTGGAAAATCACGTTAAATACCATTACGCCTAAAGCTTCCAGTAAGGTATTTTAATAAAGTTAGTAGCATCCATCTACATCAGAGTTCTTGATTCATGAATTATTACACAATTAAAAAAATATTTGAAAAAAGCAAGAGCATGAGATCGATGTATAATAAATAAATAAATATTATGTAAATGTCAATAAAGTACAGGGTGTCCCAATGAAAAGTAGCCAGCCCGTTTCCAGAGCTTATAACTTTTAAGCGCCTAATCGTAGAAACGTGCGGTTTCCGCTGATATGTGTTATTTTGCTATAAGTTTTGGTTTAGTGACACAGAAATTATGTATTACTTATACAGGATGTTTTTTAAAAATCTCTTTTAAATTCACCGTAACCAAACTTTATCAAATGGAACACCCTGTACTAAAATACCATGTAAAAATTATACATTTTTGGAAAGTAGAAGAGTGTATCTTTCAGATGACCTAAACATATACAGGGTGTTTTTTTGCTATTAAACGATAATAATGTTAATAAATACAAATGTATTACCATTAAAATTTATGTAACAAACAAAGTAATATTACTAAAAAATACCTTTCATAGCTATGTTCAGGTTTAAAACATGTTATTTAAATTTTGAATGTAATGTAAATCATGAATTAAATATTCTAGAATTATTATGTACTTAATTATAAAGATAAAATTGTAAAAATAATTAAATTAAATAGTTAAAAGAAAATTATATTACTCAAGTAAAAACCTGATTTATTGAACTCATAGCTCGATCTGCTGGACTTCGGAAATTAGTCCAATCAAATAGAATTTTGGAGGAAGTGAAGGAATTTTTGATATAAGTTATTTGAAAACAATTAGAACGGGTGAAAAAATAAAATAAAGTAGTTTTTTTAATGTTTATTTAAAACGTACTCGGTTTCGACGCCGTGCGCGCAACCTAAAAATGGCGCGCGGAAGGCTACTTTGAGCGTTAAATTAAAATTATAAATAATGGAGGTACAGTTCCGGGAGTCGGAACTTATTTATAGCAAATTTCCTCCTCTTTAAGGATCTTTTTTGAAAAATCCAAAAATATTTATAGTTTACAAACTATAGGCGAAAAACCAAACACCATGTTTTTGAGGTGTTTAATTGTTTATAACTTTTGCAATTTTTTATGCACTGCAAAATTTTTCTTCACACATTGATCTAGACATTATTCCGAATCGAATGAGCTATTGAACATAATTTTCGTAATAGTATGTCCCAAAAACACGCTTTTGAACTTGTTGATTAGACTATAATTCTAGATGGTAGAGCACACAAGATAACAGAAAGATGATTATGGAATCCTATGATATTCGCCTCAAAAGAATTACTTTCTTAGAAAATTTTATTAAATATAGAAATGAAGGCTGGAATATTATATACATGGTGTTAAAAAAAAAGTGTCACAAAATAAAACGGGGGGTAGTATGGGCCAAAATATGCAGAAAAGTCTTAATAAACATATGTCCGCAAATGAATGGTTTCAGAGATACGGAGTGTTTTGTGTTTTGTATCATTTTTTGATTAACTTTTTTCATTCTCAAAAACTTGCTTTTCTTATCGGAGTCTACCGATGTTTTTTCATAGATACTATTTGCAGTTATTATTTTGTTGTGGGTGAATAATTTTATAAATTTTCGTTATGCCTGTTTACACTAATATTGAATTAGCTGACATGCATTTTATGTACGGTCGTGCAAATGGCAATGCGAGGGAAGCGCTACGTCAGTATTTGAACATCTCATTTAACTCTATGTTGTTATTGATTGTTTATAAATATCATTGTTTTTTTATAATAATAAAAAATTGTTATAAACACAAAATGGTCCGTATCTCCGAAACCGTTAATTTGCGGTCATATATTTATTAAGACTTTTCTGCTTATTTTGGGTCATACTATTCACCATTTCATTTTGTGACACTTTTTTTTAACACCCTGTATAGTGATGAAACATACATCCACAACTCACATGTGCAATCTAAGGGATGGTATGATATATCGGGAAAAGGTTTGAAGAAGCCAATCTCAAAAGGAAGGAGACTTGTGATTGTACATGCAGGTGAAGAAAAAGGATATATTCCTAATGCTTTATTAATATTTCGTTCAGGTATGTCTCTACATATATTGAAAAGTGTTATTTTTTAAGTATCGATTATCTCAAATATTTATATCAGGTATAACATGTTTTAACTTAGTTTAGGGAAAAACGCTGTTTAATAGTAATGATTTAATTTGAATGTGTTGAAAAACGAATAACTTGACTCATTAGCATCCATAAAAATATAGAACGAAAAACATGTACTGATTTTTAGATAGTTTTTTGAAAATTATACTATTGTTATTTATGGTTTTTTCATTGGTATTCAAACAATATATAATAAAAGATAATTCTAGCAGTCTAATAAGGCAACACAATTTACAATGTCTTAATATGACATGTTGCACTGCTATTTTTATTTATTTTTTTTTTGTATTAAATTACATTCAAATAAAACTTTCAATCCTTCACTTCATATGTGTACTGAATGTTTAGTTATTATGTAATTTATTTACAAAATAGTAAATAGTAAAATGAATTTTTTGCGTATTAAATATAAATAATATTTTCTTATACATTACACTTAAACTTGCATTTAATAAACTTAAAATTAGGCAATTTCCTGAATAAGTTTTTATTTTCAGCAAATAATCTAAAAAACCTGTATACATTGTGAAAACGGCAACAAACCTACCTATCTTTGTTATCAATATGACCGCTACAAATTACAAAACCCACTTGTTATTTTTTGCATTTTTCTCGGCAGACGTGAACGAACGAGATAGTATATAGTCGCGCTTTTCATGACGCCTCCTTCGTTGTCTATAAATAAAATACCGTTGATCGAAATAGCCACAAAAAATAGCCAATAGACTGTCGGTGCGACGCCATATAACTTCTCTTCATCATAAATTGATAAAATCTAGGTTATGACGACGTCAGAAGTCTGTGTTTACATTATGGTACCTGGTTTTATTACAAAGGCACATACCCATTAATCGGATATATTTAATTATTAATATTTAATTAAAATTCCATAAAGAAAGGTTAGTTTGAATAAATATTTTTACACTGTTGATAAATCTCACCTCGATGAGACAAAAATAAAAAGAATATAAATGAAACATTTATTGGCCAGAGTAAGAAAATTAACTAAACAGGAACCAATAAGGCCAAATATCAAAAAGAAACAATTGAATTGGAATTTTAGAAAGAATGAAACCAGACATAGCGAGAAAAGTAATGGAAATCGAAAGGAATTCAAGAAAAAAGCATTGAGGAAAGTCCAGGAGGACATGGATTGACTAGATTGAAGAGATCTAAATTGATAAGGAAAAAAACTTTGATAGAGATGAAACCACTAGACAGGAACAGCACGAATGGAAGAAATGGGTCCAGAAAGAGAACGGATCACAAGCCGACGCCTGAAAAGGCAGGTAAATAAGAAAAAGTTAAAACCTAACGACTACAATCGATGCTAATTCTGAAATATTCTCAATTTATCTTTATAGACTGAGAGCCAGTGGCCATTTTGAGTAACATGTTAAATATAAGGCTGAAAATTTGTATAGTTGCCTCTGAATTCGGTGGGAAAATGTACACCGAAAAAGATAAATGTAAGTTTGGCAACATTGTTAAAAAGACCCGAGGAGTGGTTGTAAATCATACACACTTACGCTGATTATAATACAGAATCGTAATCAGGTACTTATTATAAGTTGAAATTTAAAGTCGTTTATTAAAAAGTTAAACATTATATTTTTTTTTTATAGAATTTAAAAATGTAAAAATGATTATTTTATTTATG